TCATGTTTTTAAATCTTTTTCTATCAACCAAGGACTTCCCTGGTGGGTCCCCTCAGAATTGGCTACTACACCATGGTATAGCCATGCTGTTCCGTCATCACCACTTAGTAGATGTGGAATAACAGAAGAGATGGGCAGGGCTGGGCAGATGATTATTATGTGAAAGCAAAACATGGGCATTTTATGAAGTCATAAAATGTATCCAGAGTGTCCTCTCCCAGGCACACAAGTATGAAAGAAGTACTCTCATTATTTCCAACATCTTATTCAGATTTCCTTGGAAGCGAGCATAGAGTTGATATTCATTAACAGTTTGCAAGTCTTTTCAAAGCTAAACATCTGCATGGCATCCGATGATGTTCACAATTTTTTTCTTTAAAGGAATGTCTGTTGTGCATTTATTAGCTTCATTTATGCTTTATGGTTACCTTTTAAGTAAACCATTTATGCAGAGAAATCCTTAATGCTACGGACAATCCTGACATCTTCGAGGGCTAGCTCTGCCTTCACTCTCTATTTCATATACTTATGCTGTGACAGAAATATTCACAGCGTCCCCTTAGGCCTCTTCTTGGAGGACCCCTTGATCGGCACTGGGTGAAAGGTTTCTCTTGGAATGCCACTCCCAAGCGACAACACGCACTGAAGTCAAGTGCTTTTTTATACATCATAGGGCGAATGGCCTAAAAGGGGGCTAAGCTTTGATTAGAGATGTTGCAAGTGGGGAAAAATGCTTACTTCAATTTAACTTCTGCTTTCAGAAGACATGAGTACATAAATTATGTAGAAGAACGGTGATTACTAGACAGTCTAAAAGCTGGAGGCTCTAAGCCAATTTTCAACCAACTGTCACAGAACATAAGTTTCAAAATATGTTTAAACTAAACTGACAACTGCAGAAAAAATGTAAAATTCTTTGAAGGCTTGGTTATGTGAACTGATGAGGACCTCAGAAACCACATGCTAGTTAATGCACAGCAATACTTCACTGTAACATTCCCACTCCCTTCTGGAGGGAATATTAAAAGGGGTAGTACAGATGCTTCCCCAAATTAAGATCTTCTAAGTGGAAGAAAGACTATTTCCAGCACAGAGTGGGCAACAGAAGTAAGTTCATCCAAAATCTAAAAGGGCTCTGCATGATCCTCTGGCCCAAATGGCTTCTAGCTGGGACGAGATAATCCCGGAAAGGTGTCTGTGCCTGTGTATTTCCACTTTCTTTATCAGAGCAGCTCTACTCTCAGCTGCTCTGCATCTAGGTGCCCTGGAGGACTGGAATTACTGCTTGTATTCCAACCTCTTTATAGCTCACAAAGCCAAGACCAGGGAGATTGCACTATGGATCCAAAGTGCCAGAAAGATAGAGGTAGAACAAGCGTTCTGTGAATTCCCCGCTAAAATGCCATCGTACCAGTTACAGAGACTGTAGAATCTCAATTGTCCTAAAGCATTGGTAATTAAGATCAGGAATTATCTATCTGGCACAGTTACTTCTCAGGACAGCTCTCGCTTTCACCTATGTCACAAATTCCCATGATTCTTAGAGCAAGCTTTTTCCACCCCCTACCTATCCGAGGAATAGGAGTCGCTGAACACCCTAAGATGGTGCATGCACTTCTACATGTTTGTATCCATGTGTATTTCTTTTGGAGATGATCTGCAGATTTTACCTCTTCTTCAGAAATATCTGCGATCAGAGTCAGTGCACTTGAGCAAGGGAATAAAAAGGAGGAACCACAACAAAAGATCACTTAGGTTTATAACCGAAAAACTTTTCAGAAACTACCTCTGAACTAGAAGCATGTTTCCCATTCCATGACTCGGCTAAAGTGCACAAAGGTAAAAGCAAAAGATCCACAGTATTTGTGAACATTCAGTCCCTGCTAGACAGACAGAGATTTCATTCTAGTTCATGGATTTCACATACTTTGAGAAAAATTGAGGTAAGACATACAACCTACACCCTGGGAACCGAAACCACGGCTCTGAAGACCCAAACAATTTGGGGTGAGGGGATTAGTTCTGTCTCTGAACCTTCCCTTCAGAAAACAGTGGTGAGTGAGAGACTTGCTGACAACTGACGGAGAACAACTGCTTCTTTCCATTCAGCTGGAGACTCCTGAGGGAAAAAAACTCATCTTCATAACTGTGCCAATTAGGCAGACCCTAAACACTGCCTTTGCCTCTGCCGCTGATAACGTGGGGGAAGGGTGGCTGATGTAATCCTGAAGCTGGAGTGGATGCGGAGCCTCATGACCCCTGACGGGCAAGCTTCCCCTTCTCCATGCGCCCTAGCTGCGCCAAAAGAGGAGAATGCAGAGGAAGACCAGCCCAGAATTATCTTTCTGTGCACGGAATGACAAGCGAGAGACTGGAAAATAGTTCACATTGGAGGGAAAACCCCAAGAAACCAGCATGAACATAAATGAGTCTGGACAACAATTCTGCACTGTATTTTGAAATAATATTCGGTATTTATCTGGAGCATCCATCTTGTAATGGAGTGAAATTGAGAATTTCCTGAGGCTGGGAGACTGTAATCATCTGAGAAACGTGGAGTGACACTTGGGTTTAATTGTAAGGAATGATACCCAGATTGGCCCATCTAGCCCTCTGCAGAGCTAGAAGCACTATCATGGAAATTACACCTCGAGGTCAGTGAGGGGAATGACAAGATGTTGTGCGCCAGCAGTTTAAATGCCAGGGGGCACCAGGCCAAGAAGGTGCAGCAGTGGCACTGATGCAATTCTAGGCTTAGGCCAATTCTCACGGCAAGCCGGAAGCTGAACACAGACCAGGAGGGAAAAGACAGAGTATGAAGTTCATTAGAAGAAAAAAAGCAGAGGAAAGATGTTTTACTAAAAAAAAAAAAAAAAAAGAAAAAAAAAGAAAAAATCCAAATACCCTAAAACCCTAAATAAAACTCCGTGTCTGTGGAGGGACTTCCCAGCCCTGCAGCGTGCATAAAGCTGAGCCCAGGGAGCATGGGGCCACACACGTCTTTATGTGCTCCGTTCCGGAGCCGAGCTGCACGTGCACGGCAGAACGCGCTTCCCTCCCTGTGGCCCGGGGCCTGGAGGAGCTCCGAGGGCCATGTGACGTGTGAGCTTCCAGAACGTGGATCTCGGGAGGGAATTTCACAAGCACACAACATACTTGTTCTCCCTCGACTCTGCTTTCTAGTTTTTCTCTCCCTCTGCTCTTGTTTAATTTTGTGGTTCAACTTTTTGAAGAATGGTGGGAGGTACTGCATGAGGCAATGCTCGGAGAATGAGACTCAGCTGCAAGGATTGCGTGATGCAAGCTGGCCCCCCACGTCTTTCAAACTCGCTGTGATTCTGCTTGCTGCGGAGACACAGGAAGCAAGTTCTACTCATCCTCGCATGTGCCGTGTCTGTGCCCGGCGCACAGCAGGCTCGGCACACGTGCTGAGTCAGGGGAACTGGCTGCTTTATCTAAACAGTTCTGCGTTCTTTTCTGCGGTTTGTTTCCGAACGGGAGCCAACAGTCACATCGCTTATGTGCTTTTGAGCAATCGCTTGTTGATCCTTATGAGCCCATTAGTGAAAGTTGTTTAATGACCGAATTTGGCACAAAATTATCCTGATGGGAGAGTGTCAGAGCAGATTAGTAAGACTGTGTCAAGATACCAGCAAGGAACTGAGAAAAGTCACTGTGTAAGCAGATTTGTAAAAGTATGAGGACAACAAAATAAAATGAGTCAAAAATAATTTCCAGCTCTTTCTTCAGGGGTAAGCAAAGAGCCTGATTATTGCTAACATCACACATCTATACTGTGTATGATCCAAGAGCTTTATACAATTATTTATTAATACGTGCCACAGAGAAGAAAAAGAAATTTTATGACTAAAATAAGTAGATTCCTGGGAATAATAAGCAACTCTTAATTCTCTGAGTAAGATATAGTTTTATAGGCTGTATGTAAATGATACTTACTAAGCATGGTTTAAGTTATGTTTCAGAAATTACATTTCAATAAAAATTTAGGAAACAATTACAAAGCATCATTTATAAGTTCAGAAATAACATCATATTCAGGATATTTACATGAATAAACTCTCTACCCCCCAAACAGCTTAGGACGCATAACATTGCTTTATTAGAGAGGATATTTTTAAAGAAAACAAATAAAAGCAAATATAACAGTTTTGAAGATAGTGTCAGAAGCACAGATTCAGAGAAATTCTTCAGACATCCTAAGAACATTGTTTCTCCTAGGTAAGGAAAGCAACATGAGAAAATGCTACCCTGAACCTAGTCTAACGAGCTGGTAAGACTCCATATGCAGATGACAAAGAGAAATCCTTGGATTTCATGGTGATCAGAAGGGAGGAGACTGGGCACAGTCAGGGACATGCCTTGGACTTTAGAAAGGCAGAGTGTAAGCAATTCAGACAAAGAGCTGGGGAGGCTCCCTCAACAAGAAAGTTGGGAGCGAATGGAGCTAAGCAGTCTACAAAAACACAGTCCTATGGGTCAGGTCTTGAGAACCCAAAACTGATTTTAATTTAGGATAAAGGCAATAGTATAACTCAGAGGGCAAGGGACTGAGTATGGTCAACAAATAACCCTCAGAAAAATGTCCAGCTGCTTGGAAAATGATTCAATTTACATCTCCCGTCATGCCATTTCCCCAAAATAAGTCCTCACAGTAGGATCAAACATTTAAGTGTAGAAAACAGAACCATTTCAGGAATAGCCACAGATAAAAATGCAAGTAAACAACTGACTATTGATGCAGTAATGGAAAGGAACCTGTCATTCAGATTCAGAACAGTACTTACTCACGATGGTTAGGACTCTCAAAAACTTGAATAAATTCTATCCCAGTTCCTGAACTTTTACTCTTGAGTGAATGAATGAATAAGTAACCCAGCATTTACAAATTCTGGATAAGATGACTTCAAGGACACTGAAAAACCAAGAACTTCAAATCACGTCCCTCTTTACAGAAATCTGACAGTGTCAGGAGAACTTACCTGCAACAAATGACAGCTTTGCAAGACAAAGCTAAGTCCAGGAAATACTGTCTTACTCCGAAGGTTAAGGCATACTTGAGGGTTTTCCCATCAATTATAAGAGCAAAGTCATTCTCTTTCCGAAGAGCATCACCAAGAGTAGTGCAGTGACGACTGAGGGTTTCCCTTGTGCCCTGCAATATGAAACAAATGCCATCAACATTCACTCCCTCTGTTCTACTGAGATGCCTTAAGGATGGTTGGCGGCTACAGTTAGCTACACTGAACGCTTTTTATGCTTCCAATCGTTTCCACACACTTACACTCGTTTCATTCTCACAACAGCCCCTCAGGGGGACTGGACAAGCGTTATCAGAAAAGCTTCATGGAAGTGACATATCTGTTGCCAGCAGGGCTGGGACCAGACTACAAGTCACCTACTCCTTGGCTGGCTTGGTAGACTTGGCTCATTATCCTGACCACACAATTACAAGACTGAAAAAAAAATCTTCACTAAATTATCTTGTTAAGAAAAAAAACATCATTCTAATTTATGAACTAGTCAGAATTTCTTTGCCATGAGTCAAAAGAAAAAGTTGGGGGAAATATAACTTAAATAATTTATGGATATTCGTTTGAAACTACTCAACACCATTGGAATATAATTCCTGGTAACGGAGAGGAAGAAATGCAGGACCTGTAATCTCTTTCCCTTCATGAACTGACTTCTATAACTTTAATCATGATTTCATGATGCTGTATTTTAGTTGAGGATGGTGACATGTGGCTTGGTAATCTTGATGGAACAAATAAAAGAACCCCTTCCGCCAATAAATAGTTCACTTTCAGGCACAATAAAAACCTTTCGTGTCAAGGAAAGGTTTTTGTTCACTTCAGCCACACAGAAGGGACGTATTTGTCTCCTTCTTTCAACAACTGTTTTCCCAGCTCTTCAAAAGCAAAAGGTTTCAGGACATTCAGTTTTTCTCCCCAAATCCTACAGACTCTTCCGCGACTTAGGGAGCCAACGTCCCGCTTCTCAAGAGCCCTAGCGTCGTGAAGAAGCATAAGCCTGGCCCTGCACAAGGAAACATGAGGAACCGTTCCCTTCCTAGTAGGTTTTTGTGGTAGGTGCTAAGCTTGCCATTATCCAGATACTACTTACGACATACATTTACATAAGAGAATACAGCCACAACAGAAATACACTTATATATCAATTTTTATGTCATTCATGGGAGTATAATATAGTTCTGATTTAAAGATGCTGTTTAAACATTTTGCATTTATTTCACAAAGAGGGAAGCAAGGGCATAGGTAATTAACATTTTATATTGGGGATTTTTGAAGTTATTTCTGCATTTCACATTCTTCTCTGGAATTTCAGAATCTGTTTATCAAATATCAGAATTATGTCGTATTGTAAAGTAGGAGTGACCAACTGTCCCAGTCCTGGAATCCACGTAGCAGTTCCTCCACTGCCGTCTATACCCAGTGACACAGAAGACCACCAAACAGCAGCATTCTTTGCAAAATTTTCTGTTCACACTTTACATTGGAGTAAGTAGCTGTTTTAATTTACAGTCCTCACACTCCCATTTCCTGCTGGAAATTGTTGGCCCAAGAGGAATTAACAGGAGGTGAAAAATGTCAGTAAATTTTTGCAGGCAAAATTTACTAATGACAATCTGGAGTAGATTAACTTGATTGTCTTAAGGTAATTTCATACAGATTAAATGGACAAATTAGTCTATGAATTGATAAAAATAAAAATTATACAATATTTAGCATGTACTGCACTCCAGGCAGAGTTTCAAGGGCTATACATACAGAGCCAACATTGAAACTATCATCTACTACTACGCTGAGCTGGAGGCAATACTGTTAACTCCATTCCGCAGATGAGAAGGAACACATGGGTACAAGGGCTGGTGTGTGGTGCCCTGTGTTAAACTGTTTCTTGTGATACCAGCTTCCCATCCCAAATCAGAGTGCTGGTTTGAGTCCTGCCTACTTTGCTTGCAGTGTAGCTTCCTGTTCCTATGCCTGGGAAGGCAGTGAAAGAGTGCCTGAGTCCTTGTCACCCTGTGGGAGACCGGGATGGAGTTCCTGACTCCTGGCTTCAGCCTAGTGAAGCCCTGGCATTTACAGCCATTCAGGCAGTGAACCAAGCGATGAAAGACTGATGGAAGACTTCTTTCTCTTTCCTTGTCTCCTTCTGTTGTTCTGCCTTTTAAAATAAATCAATACATCCTAAAAGATATTGAATGAGATATCAACATTCAAACTTGTATATACAATGTCATGACTGTAAAAAATAAGGAATACATGGCTGCTATGGTCACTATGGTACTGTTATAAAGATACACACAAGCCAATGTAAAAATACAGAGAATTCAGAGATAAATCCAAGTATTTACAGTCAACTAATTTTCAACAAAGGCAGCATATACATTGGATATAGAACAGTCAACTAATGGTGTGGGGAAAGCCAGGCATGCACACGTGGAGAGAGGACTGGATCTGTCTCTCACCACAGGCAAACATCAGCCAAAAGTGGCTCACACACCTGAAATGTAAAAAGTGAAATTTTGAAGCTACTAGAAGAAAATATATAGAAAATGCTTAGGACATTCATCTGGGCAAAGATTATTTGGATCAGACCCCAAAGGCACAGACAAAAAAAGCAAAAATTGACAAATGGGATTATATCAAACTAGAAAGCTTCTGTACAACAAAAGAAACAATCACACTACAGAATGGGAGAAAATAATTGCAAACTGCTCATTCAACAAGGGGTTAATTTCCAGCACACACACACACACACACACACACACACCTCAAACAACTCAACAACAAAAAACCCAAAACCAAAACCAAAACTAAGCCAAAAATAAGGCTAGCAATCTGATTAAAAAAAGTCAATGACCTAAATAGACATTTCTCAAAAGAGGACATACAAGTAGCCAACATAGAATATGAAAACCACAATGAGATATCATCTCACCTCAGTTAGAATGGCTGTTAACAAAAAGATAAAAAATAACAAATGCTGGTAAGGATGCAGAGAGAGAACTCTTATATTCTGTTGGTGGGAATGCAAATCAGTACATCCATCATAGAAAGCAGTACAGAAGTTCCTCAGAGACTAGAAATAAAATTGCCGTCTGATCCAGCAATCCCACTACTGGGAACATAGCTAATGGCAATAAAACTAGTATGTGGAGAAGAGACTCATACTTCCATACTCACTATAGCACTGTTCCCAATAGCTAAGATACGGAGTCAAGCTGGGTGTTCATTAATAAAGAAACTGCTAGGGACTGGTGCTGTGGCACAGCGGGTAAAGCTGCCACCTGCAGTGCCGGCATCCCATATGGGCACCAGTTTGAGTCCCGGCTGCTCCACTTCCAATCCAGCTCTCTGCTGTGGCCTGGGTAAGCAGTGGCAGATGGTCCAAGTCCTTGGGCCCCTGCACCTGCATGGGAGGACCTGGAGGAAGCTCCTGGCTCCTGGCTTCGATAGGTGCAGCTCCAGCTGTTGCAGCCAATTGGGGAGTGAACCAGCGGATAGATGACTTCTCTCTGCCTCTCCTTCTCTTTCTGTGTTAACTCTTTCAAATAAATAAATAAATAAATTAAAAAAAAAATAAACTATGGGCTGGTGTTGTGGCTCACTTGGCTAATCTTCCGCCTGTGGCGCCAGAATCCCATATGGGCCCTGGGTTCTAGTCCTGGTTGCCCCTCTTCCAGTCCAGCTCTCTGCTGTGGCCTGGGAAGGCAGTGGAGGATGGCCCAAGTGCTTGGGCACCTGCACCCGCATGGGAGACCAGGAAGAAGCGCCTGGCTCCTGGCTTCAGATCGGCGTAGCTCCGGCCGTAGCGGCCATTTGGGGGGTGAACCAACAGAAGGAAGCCCTTTCTCTCTGTCTCTTCCTCTCACTGTCTGTAACTTACCTCTTAAATAAATAAATAAAAATCTTTAAAAAAATAAAAAAGAATACTTCAAAATAGTTAAAAGAATTTTGAATGTTCCTAACACATGTCTGAGGTGACAGATATGCCAAATGCCACGATCTGATCATTACACATCATATACACATATTGAAATGTCACACTGTGCCCCATAATTAGGTATGGTTACTATTTGTCAATTTAGAAATATATAAAATATGTACATTTATATATATTTTATGTAACATATAAATATATATATATATTTTAAAAAAGAACACACTAAAAGCTCAAAAAGATTTTAAAAAACTACATGGCTTCTAAGTTAGTGAATTGAAATTCAGAATTAAATTTCTGTGCTAGCTCGTGTTTCTTTGCATAATCCAGAAGAAACCAAACTTTAGACAGTACGAGACACAGTGGATATACATGGCACGCCCACTCCGTTTGCTTGTTTCCCTGGAGCCATCATCATCTGTCTCTCATCTCGTCTTTGCCGCCAACAGAGATTTCTCTTTATAAAACACAAATCATAGCTCTTCTTGCTTTACAGTCATTTTGAGGCTTTCTTCTCCTAGCATGACAAAGTCCAAACTCCTTTAAGTGACACTGAGGGCTTTCCACAACCCAAGCCCAGTAAGTCTCCCCTCCCGGAGCCCATCCCACTCAACACAGCTGCATTTCCGTCTCTCTGCAATGCTCTTTCCCCCAGGGGACAGTCCCTGCCTACCACCAGGCCTCCCAGGCTGATCCGTGCCACCATGTGTAGCTGCCTTGGAGCTAGAAAGCCCCTGCTCCCTTGAGAGGAGAGACCACATTAACCTGTTTCCCAGCAACAGAGGCAGGGCTTGCAATTACAGATGCCCAGAAAATACATATTTATTCAGTGAGAGCACTGATAAATTCTGATTTCATTCTACTGGCAGCATTCTACTTCCTTCTTATTATCACTTTGGATCTCTCTCTCTCTCACACACACACACGTGTGTGCACACAGAGGAGAGAGAGAGAGACCAGTTTTCTCTTCTCTGTTCCCTATTTGTTCTAGGGAGCAAATAATCCACTACTTCAACAGTCTTTCAAACAAAGGCACTGCTCACTAACACGCCTCTGTATTTTTTAACCAATTGTCTAAGTGACTTCTGGGCTGAAAACCTGAAATGAAACCTGAGATGGACCTCAGGATCTGAAAGATCAGCTTCAAAGCAGGAGGGAAAGTGAACTGCCCTCATTCCCCACTCT